GGTATAATGTTTTAAAGATTGTGAAAATTATCTAAATTATATTGTGTTAACTCTCACTTAACTCAACTAAAGCGATATCATACCCTGAGAAATTTAACTTATTTAATGCGAAAAAGATTAAAAAATGCTAACTTAAACAAGTACTGTATGTAGTACAATCAAGCGATAAATTTCTTTTCGCTGCATTAGTTTTATATATGTCTTTACCCAAATGAAATTATTTTATTATTGTGATAAATATGTAAGCAAATGCGTTCTTTAGATCCACCCTCAATGAATATCACTTATTTCTATCGCAAAGTAGCGGTTGTGCGAGAAAGTCGATCATCGCTCTTGCAGTTTGAGCACACGCACGATCCGCGGAGAGTATATACCTCCCGCGGCATCTCGCCAACCTCTTTCAACACGGTTAAATATTAGCGGGAAAGACCGGTGCGCTACGATAAATTCTAGCCACACGACACGCCAGCGCGCGCCGGCTCGTAAATCGGCCCCGCGCGACATGTATACTTCCAGGCATCATTAATTAAAAGCCCCACGCTCGTTGCCTAGCATCCTCTTGTCCTTTTCTTGAAGATCGGCAGTTTCGTGGCATTCTTGTGAGATATTTAAGCTTGGATTTGTTGGTATTTACCCATGTAACGTAAGATTCTTGAGATTGATCACGTAATATTTTCAGAAGCGAGAGAGCTACTGGTGATTAAACAGCGACAATTTTTTTTTCCTTTTCACGTAATGTTTACCTTTTCTAAAGTCAGTGGCGGTCTTCGAGTTTTGTTTGACATATACGTCGAGATTAATATTAAAGTTATTACTAACAACTAATTATTATTAAATTATATTACTAATTAGTTAGCGCGGTTACGGTTTTTTTTATTTACATATTTTACTTACTCTTGATTAACATGTTTTTCATAATTATTTACCTTTAATGATTGCCTTCATAAGTAATACAGTGTAGTAAAAGAAGTTTTTTTTATTAATATGTTAACGCATTTAATTAGTTCGACAACATTAAACAAACATAAATTTTTGATGCATGGTTATATTGATTTTAAAATCAATTAAGTTAAATTTATTATATTTTAGTTTGATCATATTATAGTTCGATTAATACTTTATAATAAATAAGAACTTAGTAATATCTGCAATTTTTGTCTATGATGAATTATGTAAAGTACGAATTAGTGAGTATTTAATATGACATTTGTCGCTGCATCACATACGTCGTATATTACAGTTATTATTTTTGAACAATTTTCGTTTCGAAAGGGGAAAGAAGATCTTTTTTTTAATATTATATTGGGCAGGGGCAAAAGGCGGATAATTGTGCAAGAGAGGGAGAAAAGGACTCGTCCCAATCTTCCATTCACGACGTTACGATCACGCGAAAACGAGTTTGGCAGGTTGGTTGCTTGAGCACAATCTTGCTTATCTTGGTTTGGCCTGATCGGGCGAGAACGATTTGGAGCAACGTGAAAAAATACGTCGCGCGGTATGAATGGTCGAGTTATTTGAATTATACCCAATCTATTCTTTCATCACACGTAAATTAAGAAAAAGAAATTATAAGAAATATTATAAGAAATAGGGACTCTCGGAGCTTCATTAAAAAAGAAAAATGTAACGCAATACGGGATCTTTATTTATTATGTTGCACAAGTGAAGAATATAACATTATGTAACCGGATAGTCCTTAATGTTTATGAGGTGGTAATTTTGAAAATACTATTGGCATAATTGTGATAACAAAAAAATCATTTCATTGTAGCGTTGATGTTCGTCTGGTAATTAGTAAGTGGGAACTTTAATACCCCAGAGAACCTCCAACAATTCCTTGATGGCTATGAGATCAATGCCTTCAGTCCTAGCGTGTGTCAAAAGCTCCTGAAATTTAGGGTGAACGTAAACCTTGTTGACGATTTGCTGGAAATTGTCGGATTTCAATTGCGCGATCAAGTCGGCGAATGCTTTAGAGGTCGTGAGCTTCTCCTCGTACAAATCCCTAAGCTCTTTTCGAGGCAAAACGTTCAGAATGTCTTGAATGTATCCGTTAATTCCACCGGTAATGTATGTGCCGAAATAGGATGGCGCGGTAAGAGGAGGGAGCTTGAGAGCAGAGTTCAAATCGTTCACTATCTTGTAAATGTCAATACCGGCATTATGGATGTAATCCATAAAAACTTTAATCTCAGGCAGAGCTTCTACATCTTGGACTAGCTGCTTAAATCCCTCAGATCGGAAGTATTCGACCATTTTCTGGAAGTCTTTATCTTCGATATAGTATTGAAGAGTGATTTGTACTACTTTCTTGACCGGTACGAGGTCTAGGAATTCTTGGAGGACTGGATGGAGCTCACCTCTTCCAAAATTGGGGAGCTCAATGGCGGAGGCTGTAGCCACGAGGGCTAGCAGTGCTAATGCGAATTTCATCTGTAAAAATAAATAATTTTGTTGAAATTATTGATACATTTGAAAATTACATTATATATACGCAATGTATGTATATAATACAATATAATGTAATATAATCTTATATTTATTACATTTTATACGATTATATATAAAATATATGTTCAAACCAAATTTACGCAAAAATTATATTACCATAAACAAATTCTTAATTTGACATTTGTAGTGCATCGATAAATATTAGTTGAATCAATTATTTTGGTTTTGTGAAATTTTTTTTAGAAAAAGATTACAAACACTATTCAATTTTTATTGTATATCAATCAAACTATACTATACGAGAAAATTGCAATTAATATTAATTTATTTAAAATACTTTGTTAATTGATTGAATTAATAAAATAAATCTGTATTTGGCGATAACTAGAATAAATGCGGTAATTGAAAAACGGTAAAATATTTAAAAAATTATAATTAGTCACTTAAAGTTTTTTTACTTATCTCTTTTGGTTTATGTTTGAGAACCATGTTTTTGATAACAGTTTTATTTATTTTTAATAGAGACGGGAAGTAAATGTATTGTACATGATTTATCATATTGCTTATTTTTATGTACAATTTAATATTTAAATTCAAAAATATTTAATTTGATCTATTAATAATTATAGTCTTGATACTTACTTTTGAAATGTTGCTATAGTGCTTCTACTTGTGATCTCGCAACTGATGCTCGACAATTTTTGCCGCTGTCTTTTATACACGAAATTAGATCTTATTTCTTCAATCTGTGATAAGATTATGTATTATCTGCGAGTACTTGATTTGAAGATAAAACACTTTTAAGATTATTTTGAAAAATTACACAATTAAACAATTTTTTTAGATTAAGCTGTCAACTTTATAATGGATTATTAGTTTCATAATGATTATGCAGTTGCACGTGCGAAATAATTACTTTATAAATAATGCTAGAATATTTGGCTAATGTTTGAAAAAGAATTGGCAATTAATATATTACATCCGATTTATTACGATAAATCGTAACAAAATATGTATTTAGTATTTTTAATATTATTTTAGTTTTATTATTTTATAGAAGATTTTATTTAAAATCTTCTGAAAAGAGAACTTTTCTTAAAGTAATTTGAAAATAATGATTGGATTTATAATGTAGAGGATATATTATATATAAAAATAAATCATTAATATTAGTCTCTAGAAATAAAGACAGATTCTCTTTAACTTTTTTATACTTTCGTAATATTTTCTGCCCAATAATTAAATATATTGAAACATACGCACACATTTCTTTGTGTGATATAGAATTATCACAAATTAATTTTACACATATTTTTTACACATATTTTTTATACATATTTTGTATAAAGATTGCACAAATATTGATAAAATCAGTTTGTACTTATCTTGTGGATCGATAACGTGCACGTGTGTTATCGAGCGAAATTAACCCTTGCCCCTGTCACATTGCCCCTGTCAGAAATGAGTAATAAAAATTTCCGCTATATCAAGTATTTAATTCCAAATAATATCGTGTCTCGTTCAAAGCTTTGCTATTTGTGAGAAATATTTTTTTATTTATTTTAGCGTAGTCCATATTTTTGAAATATCTTTTTTTTCCGTTTCCACACACATCGACCATCGTATTTTTTCATAGCGAGTGCCCTAAGCGGTATCTTTTCTTTTTTTTAATTCTCTCACATATCACGTTACGTTATTCGCCATGAACTATCATTGCATTATTAGTGTTTCTGTTTCGTGCTTTACACACATCAATTCGCATACTATTAACCGATTGAAATCTGCTTAAGACCTATCGTTATTCTTTCTCCATTTGTTCCATTACACTATTCACGATTCGATTCGAAATTCATAGAAATACGAAGCCTATCATTTGATGAAAATAACGAGATTTATCTTTATAAATCTTTGGAATCTTTCTTCAATAATAAATTCGTTGCTTGAAAAAGACCTATTTTAATTTCGAATCGTTTCCGATTCCTTTCGCGAAAATCAAGATTGGTGCTTCTAAAAGAAAATTTACAGAATAATATTCAAGCTAGCAATAATTTGCAAGCGTGAGAAAATGCCCCTTGTGCGTCATCACGATAAGGAAATGGTCTTGCCTATTCCTTAATCATGTCTTGATCATGTAGACTCGATGTTCGATCTCACGCCTCGTCGATCGCCGATTTTAGAGCTTTTGCTTAGAGATTTTGCTTTAGTTCCGCTTTCGTTATCGCTGCCGGGCGTGAACACGTGTTTCATCAAATGGAATTAAGTGGAATAACGTTATTCCCGTAATGAAAGCAATTTTTTGGCGATTAAGTCTGGATTCAAGAGGTCTCTTTTTTATTCTTGCACTTTCTGAACGCACACAATGCAATAAGTTGAAGTGAAATAAACACATATTTATTTTATATTAACGCATTGCACCGTGCGCATCAATTCAGAGAGTGCAGAAATAAAAAAACGGACAAGATCTATAAATTGTTTCGATTCCAAAGAAACAATTGCGTTAATAAATTATATGTTGTACTATGTCAGGCCAGTTCAATCATGAATTAATTAAATTCAATTATTCTTTAGTTATCTTAAAATTTCTATACATCGAAGAAAATAATAATTAGTACTTTTATCTTTAAATGTATTTGGCACAAGAAAGAATAAATTATTTTTGTTGAAGTTTATTTGTTGCATATCTATATCTGTAATCCATTAATCTTATCGAAAATTAAATCCATAATACTTGTAATCTATGCTTAAGTGTTTTCTGCGTTGCTGGATGATGTTCATATCGTGTCAGTGTTACGAATCGCTTGCGCGAGAGATCTCTTGTATTTTCAACGTTATTTACGTATTGTCGATTAAGATAATTACGCGCTTATTCTCTGCTTTTTCGTGAATTTCTTTGCTTTGAATCCTGGCTTTGATCATTATTAAATATCATTAATACAATTTACTGTTTTATCGTGCATCAGTGTTAATTTGAACGAAAATGCTATTGATGTACTCATTTTTTGTATCAGTCTTTCCTTCATTATTGATCATTTTTACCGATCTCGTTTACCTGAAATTTTGATCAATTAAGATGAATAATATATTCAACATTAAGAAATCGATGTAATTTTAGTGAATTCAAGCTTTATATACTTCATATACTTCAAATAATTTATATATTAGTATGCTATACAGTAATACAATAATATAGTTTATAATTTTATCGAGTGAGATTAAAGAAAAGTTTAAAATTAAAATCAGGAAATATTTGAAATGATCTTTAATTTAGAATGAAATAATTTGAGATATTTCATTTAAACGCCGTCGATACTTAAAGCAATGCATATGGAATTTAATATTTATTGAACACTAATTGATAAATGTTTGATTTATAATATTTTAAATATAAATTTATTAGCCTATTGTGCTCAAGCTTTTAGCTTTGCCAATAGGTGAAAGTTGACAATTAAATTCTTTCGAAGAAAGTAATGCTTTTACAACGTTTAGTACTTTATGTATTGAGCTTGACAATGTCTGGCCATGGTTATATGTATACTCTTGATTATATACGCTATTCGACGTTCAAGCAAGTTTTGTGCGGTTCAAGTGTTCCAGTATGCGTTTGTTATGCTAATCTAGGGTAACATGCTCTTTTACTCCGCCCGACACGGTGAGACGAGTACGTCAATCTTTCAAAAAGAATGACGTAACGGCTCTAAAATCATTTTTTTCCGCCTGTCAGTCTCTCCCTCCTCGCTTTGCATCGCTGCTTAAAATGCATGCGTCGGTTCGAACGCATAAAACGTTTTAGTTTAAGTTTACTAAAAGTTGATTCGGGTCGTTTTTTTTTTCTTTCGTTTCGTGGCAGCGAAGCGACTCGGCCGCGATTTAAGAGTCGTAAAGTCAGCCATGCCAGAGTTCGTCGAAAAAATGAGAGTTGAAAACCACCACCAGCGGAAGAGGCCTTCCGCGTCCAGAAGTTTAGCGAAATTGCATCGGGCTGATGACTGTAATTACTGACGAAATTAAACTCGTTCCGAGAGCATTCTGCGGGCCGATCTTCCCGACTGCAAAAAAAGTGATTTAAAAAGCGAGGCGAGGATTAAACAATTCCTTTTGCGAACGCGTAATAAAACGTGCGTTGTATTCGCGCTGGATAGAAACTGGTAGAAGCTCTGTGTAAACTTTATCGTCGTTTTTTATTCCCGCCTCATGCAAGAATACTTCAGACGACTTCATCGTCTGGGAGGTCGGGAAGTTTGAGTCGTTGTTGTTGCAATAAAATCGTGGGTCAGTGGCCAATAAAGATGTTGCCAGTAAAGATGAAGAACATTTTGAGAGTCGCGGCTAAAATTTAATCAAGCAAGTGCTTTCTAGATTACTGTTAGAGAGCGAAAGCGTCCCAGGAGATCGAAACCGACGACCATTTGGTATTCTACGAGACATTGCCTCGTAAAGTAGGATCTTTTTCCGATGCGGGCGGAATATTAGAATTGAGTAATCAGAGAAAATTGATTAAAATTTGATTAACTTAGGAATCCCCTCCTTAGATATATAATTGATACAAAATCGAAACATATACAATCTTAAAAGTTTGCATTTAGAAAATTATTCAAATATACTATAATTTTGTATATATAAAATATATTATAGATATAAATATAGTAAAGAATTATATAAATAATCAATATAGCGAGATAGAATTTTACGTTGTGAATTAAGCACAGTTGAAACATTTATGATTTTTTGTTGTTTTTATTACATAAAAATATTATAAAACTGAATGTGATAATGATTGATTATAACAAAAAAATTCGTGATATATTCTTTTATTATTGAAGAGTTTCATGTGCATGGTTCACTCAAACATAACATATATCCTGCTGAAAAATAGTCTTTAGAAACATTTGTTACCTTAATCGATTTATTAGTTTAATTATTCACTTTGTTCCGTGAATTTTTTTCACGTTTTAGCTCGTTTCATTTGCGTGTATTTTGCATAATTTAAATAATTATACAATTAAAATCCGAAGAAAACGAGGGCAATGTTTAATATTGATTATTTCTGTGTTCGATGTATCAAATAACACTGTAGAAAATTTAGAGTTGAAAAAATTTATTACGATATGAAAACTGTTTTAATAAATAGTTTAGAATTTTTAATTTACAAAATCATTA